CTGGAGCTTTTGAATGCTCCTGCCAGGGATCCCAATGAGGAGTGCGTTGCAGTAATCCAACCTGGAGGAGACAAAGGCATGGACGAGCTTCTCTGCAGCCGGGAGAGAGAGAGAAGAGCAGAGTTTTGAAATATTACGGAGGTGGAAGAAGGAAGTTTTGCGGATGTGATGTATGTGATTTCAGAAGGAAAGGTGGATAACCACACAATAGCACACCATAAACCGTATATTAGGAGTGGACTGACCGAGTGCTGGCATCACCCAATCCAATCCAATCTACTTTATTTATATAGCACATTTAAACAACAGTTACGTTTCCAAAGTGCTGCACAAAAAAGTATAAAATAAATAACAACTTATCCTTAGCTTCACCAAGTATAAAAGAATAAAAATATATAAAACAGATTAAAACCATAAATAGAAAAATAAAAACACAGAGGACCACACAACTCACACAGTGTTAAAAGCCAAAGAGTAAAAGTGGGTCTTAAGACGAGACTTAAAACACTCTACTGTGGGGGCCGTCCGGACATGGAGGGGAAGAGCGTTCCAGAGCTTAGGGCCGACCACAGAAAAGGCTCTGTCCCCCCGGGTTTTAAGTCTCGCGTTAGGGACCACGAGCTGGAGCTGGCTCTCGGACCTCAGGGCGCGCGCAGGAGTGTACATTTGGATGAGGTCCGAGATGTAATCAGGGGCCTGTCCATGCAAAGATTTAAAAACAAACAGTAAAATTTTAAAATAAATTCTAAAATGAACAGGGAGCCAGTGCAAAGACGCGAGTACAGGGGTGATGTGTTCGCGCTTTCTGGCCCCCGTTAAAAGTCGTGCTGCTGCGTTCTGGACCAACTGCAACCGGGAGAGGGTTTTCTGATTGACACCAGCATAAAGTGCGTTGCAGTAGTCCAGACGACTGGAAATAAAAGCATGCACAACCTGTTCTAACCAGTTAAAAGATAAGAATGGCTTCACTTTTGATAAAAGCCGAAGATGATAAAAACACGATTTTAAAACGCCATTCACTTGTTTGTCAAATTTAAAATCACTGTCTATAGTCACGCCAAGGCTGGTGACTTTGGAACGCACATAATTTCCTAGTGGTCCCAAGTCAGTAAGGGCCGGTCCAAATGTTAAAATTTCCGTTTTTCCCTCATTCATTACTAAAAAATTCTGGGCTAACCAAGCCTTGACGTCACATAGACAGTTGAGCAGGGGCGTCAGGGGGGCATGGCCTCTCAAAATTGGCATATAAATTTGGCAGTCATCTGCATAAAAGTGATAGGACACTCCGTGTCTGTTAAAAATCTCCCCAAGTGGGAGGAGATAGAGTGCAAAAAGGATAGGTCCCAAGATAGATCCTTGAGGGACACCACAATAAAGTGAGGCAGAAGAAGATGTGGCATCCCCCAGCCTGACTGAGAAAGACCTCTCCGACAGGTAGGACCTGAACCACTCCACCCGTATCGCTAGCAAGCTGGAGCCAATTTCCTTATATGGGCATGTGTTCTGACAGAGCTAGCTTTGCACCTCAAAAGGGCCAGACGTGTTGCTAAGATAGTTACTGAAGGCAAGATGGATTTTTGCCCTTGATTGAAGGTCAGATTGGTGATACCTTACATGGCACATACAAAGATATTACAATATATACACCAGAGTTAGGGATAGCGTGCAATTTTTTAAAGCCCAAAATGATGAGTGTGACGTTTCAGTCGTTTACTTTTCCATGTTAGATTAATATTATGAGATCCTTTATGCGTCCCAAAGTGGGGACATTTCACTGTTGCAATAAAAGACAGTAGGAATGAGGAGCACACAGCACAATATGAATAATAATTCTATACACTAAAATCAAATCAAAGAAAATCTCTATCTAGCAAAAAAGGAAGCAGTATAAGATCTCTATATTTAGCATAATCAGGAAAGAAGTCCAAAATCTCAAACTTTGGCATGATGAAGAAGTAAGAAGTAATCCAACAGAAGACAGAGGGAGTAGGAGCAAAACTTTGTCCATTGAGCCAGGAGGTTAGCAATGTCCATCTATATACAGTCTATGCTACACACTTATGCAGATGCCACACTCACACATTTCACTTTATTTCTCTTAGTTTTATGTCCATTGTTGTTGCGTCTTGTCCTTTTTCTATGTTTGTGCCAAGTATTTGTATTATGAACACCAAATAACAACACATACAACAATACAATAAAGCTGGACGCATAAGTAGGTAAGTAACCTTTGGACTAAAAAAGACGAATTACTTACTTAGGAATTCATGAAAAGTATATACTATATATATATATATATATATATATATATAAGCTAGACGAAGCTAGATGAGTGGTTACAGCGGATCCCTGGAACAACCTCGGACATCTCGGTCCAGAAATGTGCAGTGCTAGGAACAGCAAAGATACTGCGCAGAACCCTCAAGCTCCCTGGCCTCTGGTAGAGGACCCGAGCTTAGAGAGGGATAACCGCCCGCGGAGGGCCAAAGGTGAGTGGACAATTTTTTTTATTATATATATATATAAATATATATATATACAAAAAATTCTCATCTTTCGCCCTCTGCGGGCAGAGGCCTGGGAGCTTGAGGATTCTGCGCAGTATCTTTGCTGTTCCTATATATATATATATATATATATATATATATATATATATATATATATATGAGTCACAGAGCAAATTACAATTTACAAAAGTTACAAGAATGGATTTGCAGTAAAACCACATTGGAAAAACTGTGCAAGACTACCCCAGTCCACACCAGAGCTATTATTTGATGCATTTTTTCCACATCCTATTACATGAACTCATTAAGTAAATATTAGCAAGGCTATAGTTTAGAGTGAAAATTAACCCAAATCATCATATTTGTACTTCAAAATGAACAAGGCATGCTAAAGACTCCTGTAAGGATCTATAAGTGCTTTCTAAACATCCACTAATAGCTGAACAACCCAAGATCTCACCAATTACAGCGCGTCAGCTTCAGCCGTAACATGTGGCCCCTGCACTGGGGTTGGAAGCTCCCCATCACTCATCGCTGCCTCTGCTGGTGGTCGTGAGTGGAAAGCCCTTTTGATGGACTGCAGTTTGTTTGCACAGGTCATGTTCAGGCGTCGGTGGGTGGGTACCCTTCGCGCCCGAGGCTCACCAACAATATTTTTCTGCGGGTGTTAGTGGCGTGTCTGTATCCTCAGCAGACACATCAGGAGACCATCTCTGCACTACAGGACCATGCTGTGAACACATGCACTGCTGCTGCTGTCAAAACAGCTTTTCTGTGTTTTTAGACTACTTTTGAATATCATTTTCAGGGTTTAAAAAAGCCCCATTAGGTGACTTAAAGCTCAGGTACTTTTTTCTCCATCAATAATACTTGTAGTTTATCCCAACGGTTTAATAGTCTTAAACAGGTAACATGAAAAGTTTGTGAAAATCATAACTCAACATGCTGTCTTCATTTATTAGAATACATTTAAGAAAGAGCCTGGTAAGTTAGTCGGTTATTTGATGCTTGAGCTGATTGGCTGAGTGATAGTGGTTTCACTTTTTTGTCTGGATAAAGCTGATCTAAACATGTGACAAAAATAAATGCGTGTGATACTGTTGTTAGAGCAAGGAGCTTCTTCGATGGAGAGTATTAAATAGTTCAGTTCCATTGTCTGTGGGTTGAAAGTTGGATAGCTTTAAAAGTATGTTGTTATTGCACTACAAAAGTCATGAAATGTGATCGCACGAGAAACCTGACTCGTACGAGCCCGGAAATTGTTATTGGCAATACTACAAGTTTGCACATAACTTCTCTGTCTTCATTTGAGCAAAGGTTCCCAAATAAACCACAAAACTATGTAATAAAATACTTTTGAGAATACAAATACATGTGAAGAGTTAGTTTTCTCACATTTTTGGCCTTTGTCACAGAGGACCCTCTCAGTTGTCTTTATGACTTTAAAAGTTTGTCTACAGTTGTTGCTTCAATAGTAGTTCAATAAAGTTCACATGGCAGGAGGAAAATACGGATTACCCACAGAGTTTGGATTAAAGCGAATAGCCGGCAAGTGTGAAAATCAAGTCTGCTTGGCAAAACTGGCTGGGACATTAGAACTACTGTACATAAACCGGATCCTACAGAAGGGCAGCAGATGCATTTAGGAATTTAGGAGCACAGGGAAAACCCATGCTTGTATTAGAAATGTATGTATTTGAACAAATTCAGGCCACTCATTTTGATCATTGTGATGAAACATACAGCTCTGTACTGTAAGTGTTTCAGTGCTTTGCTTTTGGATGAGGCATGAAGACTGGGACCAGATGACCCATCTGACCGTTTGGAGACAAAGATGAATTTAGTGCTGTTCTGTAGCATAGTCTGTATTCTCTTGCCATGTGAACAGAGCGAGTAAGCAAGTTATCTTCATTTATATAGTGCATTTCACAGTTCACAACATGATTTAGTACTGGTAATATCCATTTGCTCCACAAACTGAGATGACAGAACTGAGACGTCAAACACAGGGCGCATCAAAGCCTCTCATCATCACCATCCGTTCACTCACTCATACATTCATACCAATTGTATATGTTTTGAAGGGTAGGGGAAAACGGAGCACCCGGAGGAAACCTACGCAGAAATGGGGAGGACATACAAGCTCCACTAAAAAAGTAATGTAAAATATTTAAACGCAAGATTACAATTCTCTTTTTTTGTGACATTATGTTATGATGTGTTGTGTTTCACCTTATGGAGACAGAATTTGCTCAGTTGGACATATACAGGACTGAGCTGAGAATAATAGCACTAAAGCAAGCAAAAATTGGAATTGCCCTAGCCATGGCACCTCCCGGACACAGGAGAATAACGATTATACCCAAACATGCAGGCCTTGATTTGCATAATCTGTCACTTTGAGACCATTCCGTGACCCAAAAGCTTGAGAGAGGATGACTAATGCGTACTTGTCAAACAGTAGAGTTCCAGTAGACCACATGGACTCTTTGATCACTGAAGGTCCCAAAGCAGTGTGGAGGTCAAGATTCCAGTGCTGCACAACCCAACCACCACAGCAATCTGAGCGCGTTTACACAGGTGGCAGTCATATGCTGAGCCAAGCCCACCCCACTGGCCTGCAGGCAGAAAGGAAGAGCCAGTGGCTTTATTACAGATGTGATCAAACGTGTCTCAAGTGGCGGAGAAAAGGCACTTTAAACTGTGTCAACTTTTATCAAGTGGCTCGTGTGGCAAAAGCAAAGTGCCGTCAATATGTCAAGTGTTTTTATTGGCAGCTATTCTAGTCTGGAGGCAGGGAGGGGTTTTACTAGAGGATGAATGGAAGCTATTTAAATGTTTAAGAGAATAACACAGATATAACCCACATTAAGCCACTCAATGTGTTTGCTATCGTATTGTGTTTCTCTTTACTATGTAGCATTTTGGGAATACATACTTTTGTACAATATCATAATGTTATGCTATGTTAAAAGCTCAAAAGATTTTGTTAGATTTGATACTGGCTCAAGGAAAGTCCTGACCATGATATAGTGGTGCTAAGCAGGAAAATGCAGTGCCTCTTAACAGTACTAATACACCTTGAAACGAAGCCTTTTTCATATTTACAACAATGAAGGTTGTATTTTTTACTGAATATTCGTGACACAAGTAAGAGACAACTGTGTCATGAAAGCAACAGACATGGTTTTGTTAGTATTAAGGTAAAAGTAAAAGTTTGAAGTGAAAGTGTGCATTTTTCTGAGTGCTTTAAATTGTCTTTAAAACATACCTAATGACTGCTGAACGTTCACATTAGATAGAGCCCACTTTGTTATCTATAATATAACAATAATAATTACACTTGCTCTGGCAGGGCCTCAGAGCAATGGTCAAAACAGATTTGTCACTAAACTTTTTTTTCCCCCAAAATCATGTATCATTTTGCTTTCACTTATAGTTGTCTTGCGTTTTATTTGTAAGAAAATTGCACACGTTCAAGATGTTTAAATACTCTAAAGTTCCACCAGTAGGTAGTACATCTTCATACAGTCTGTTTCTGAGCTAAAACCTTTAATCCCAGTAACAACCGTGTGACAGCGTTGTCCGTGCCACAGATTCCACGGACGAGGCTGCTGTGATGTGCTTGTTCAGTTGCGTGCCATGTTGGATGCCTGTTTGCAGCTGACATGCTTTCACAGGCAGTTTGCCACTTGCCGGGATACAGAAGGAGGAGGAGGAGGAGGGCGGCTCTGGTGTCCGGCACATGTCACTTCTGCAAATGTTATTGAGGAAGTGATGACTCTTCCGATACGCCTCATGCCATGCCCATTTGTGGCAGATGGAGGATATGATTATCAAGGATCAAGTTGGACAAAAAGATAAACGTAAAATTTGGCAGATGATATAAGGCCACATGGAGAGGAAGAGAATAAGTGGCCGAGGGGTCTAATACAATCATAAGTCATTGTTGGCCTCACTGGAGAATTGATCAACATGAAGTAGTATTTGTCTTTGCCATTATCCATACATAATCATTATTATCTGTGAAAATTAACTGATATTACTGTTCTGAGGCCTTCCAATCACACACAAGAGGCCTGCACTTTCAGCTGTCAATGCCTTGAGGAGAGAGCGCACAGGCTAGAGGCAGCAAAGAGACCTGCTGTACATGCATTTGACCAAACCTGCTCACAGAAATCGTGAAATCAGACACAAGTCTTTTTTGGGACACTGATCTATGTTTTTTACATGGGATAAAATACCAAAGTTTGTTTTTTGGGAGGTGTTGGCCAGTGTTCTGTCCGTTCTCCCGTCATGCCTGGTTTCCTGCTGAATGTCTTTACTTGGATTTGGCAAAACAAAGTTGTCTTACAGCGGTTAAAATATGGTGGCTGAAGGTAGAAACACCCTCGCAGGCAGTGGTCTCGCTTACAATGGTGTATAACTTTTAGGAGTTGCTGGTAGCGGGCCTGCAGATCTTACAAAAAAATTAGTTATAATTTGAATTTTATTCCTCAGAAGTGTTGCTGATTTTTTTTCTTTCTTATTATTTCTATTTTTTATTGTGCCTTCTCTACTCTTTACCTCTCTTTCTAACTGTTGCACCTAGTCACAGACTTGGAAATTGCTACATGGCTATCTGTTACTTATGTGGCAATAAAACTGATTCTGATTCTTATTAAAAAGATATACAGGTATGTAGAGTTTCAACATATTGACCTACCCTGTCTTACCAGCAGACCAAATGCGGATAATAATAATGTATCAGATTTATCTAGCGTTTTTCAGGACACTCCAAAGACACTGACTTTACATGTCATTATTCATTCACTCGAAAAGATTTAGTACTTTAGCCACAGCTGCCCTGTTGCTCACTGACAGTAGCGAGGCAAACAGACCCTCTGACCACCACCATCCATTCACACACACAAACCAGACTCATTCTAGGTTATGGCAGTTTGGCACTACAGTCGCCCCACGGTGGCACCTTGTGTTCCCAGAGGTCTCCCATCACAGTCCTGATCAGAGCCTACCTTGCACAGCTTCCAAGGTCTGATGGAATCTGGCTTTCACATGCAAGTATGGCCAGAAAGATGATCTTAAGAATGTGTAAATCCATTTATGGCACACACGTTACACATAAACTATAGTGACACATGAAGAAAAGTATCTCCAGAAATCCCCTCATTACCTCCTCTTCCTCAGCAAAGTGCCTCACATTGACGCATCCCAACAGTCACCGCTTTGGCCTCTGCCGTTTATGGAGCTCAGAGGACGCATTGCGCACTCATAACCTGCAGCGGTGATGGGGAAAGCAGGCGGCCGGTCACAGATGGTGTGAGGCAGGAATGGATTAGGGGCTTGGACAGTGATACGCGGACAGCCATTCATCATCATGGAAACGGTCGCGCGGCTACAGGTGTGTTTGTGTTTGCGCGTGGGCAGGAGCGATAAGTGATTTACTTCTATGGCCGTGCACCAAAGAGGATATTAAAAGGGCCTCTAGCGTTTCATAATTCATGGCAACTGGAGGACAGGTTTTGATCGCAGACTCAATATGTGTGAGATATTAAAGGAGACATACTAAACATGAATCGAATGTTTTAAGCTTTTGAAAATATTTGATTATCTGTTCTTGAGGAATGAAGAATTTTGCTGCTCTGGACTCACTCTCCTCCGGACTCCACAACACTGACTCTCTTCTCCTGTTCAAATTTTAACTTAAAACTCAGCTTTTCAGACTGTCTTTCCCCACCTGAACAGTTGTCTAGTCACACCTTTCTTCTGTTGTTTTCTGTTTTTATTCATTGTAATTGTTATAATTTCCTGGAGTTTTGCCACAGACAACTTTTAGCAAGAATGGAAATGGTAAATTGGTCCCTCAACGCAATTGATTCTATCTTTTCAACACGTAAGCGTGGGTCTGGAGAGCCCGAGTGCCCGGACGGGACTTCACCAGCGGGTTATACGCTTGACAGCTGGAACAAGTGGCAGCCCCTCTGTCTGTCGACCCTGTCTATTGAAGATTCGGAAGACGTATATATCTTTGGCTTTTTGGTGGTGGGGATCCTCCTGTTTGGGTTTGGAGCGGTTCTCTTGTACCACAAATTCGGAGGCATGGCAGTTCGCAAGATTCACGACCTGCTGGCCAACAAAATTGATGGGATGTACAAGGAGCTTAACCGAGTCGTGGTTGAGAGTGCCGTGTCTGGACAACGGAGAGTGGTGTTGGTGGAACAGTTGATCAAAGATCTCGCAGCTCGTTCACTCGATGGGCATAAAACTCTGGAATTGAGATTGAATGACATTGTGTGTCACGCTTGAACTCTCTGACCCGGCTTGGATTTGCCCCTGTGTACGGGGTCTGAGGGCGCCGTAATTCGGTTTAATTGGATTTAATAGAATATCTGCCTGTTTTTGACTGCTAAAATGCATACTATATTGTCCCTCGTTACAGGAAGATGTGTTTTCTCCTTGCTGTGTCTTCTCCCCACTCTTATCTCACATTCCTCGGGCCAAGGCCTTAATAATAAATCTGGTCTCTACAACAATTCACACTCTTTCAGTCAGTTCCAGCTTGGATCCCGCTCCCCCCGCCTCCCTCTGATCTCTCCCTCCCCTCCACTCCTCAATGTGTTTCCGACTCACCCCCTCCCTGACCCCGCCCCCCTCTGACAGCCACATTGGACCGGCAGCCGGAGGTGCTCATCCCGAGAAAAAAATCCGTGGTTTATACAAAGCACAATGTTTTCTATCCAACTGTCTGTTGTAACCTGAATGTTATTGCTCTCTGCTGTTTATTCTACTGTTTGTCGCATGGCGCCGGAAAGATGGCGCCGTGGCAAGAGCTCTGGTGTGTGTCGTCTCTGTCTGGCGCACACCGGGGTAGTCTTGCACAGTTTTTCCAATGTGGTTTTACTGCAAATGGCAAATAAATGAATCTGAATCTGAATTGCACTCTTTTTTATTATGTTTGTACAGTGTCCTTGGGCGTTTAGACGGATGCTTAAAAAAATAAAATGTATAAAATGAGTGAGAGTTGATTGAGTGCGTGTTTGTGAGTGAGGGACTAAAGATGGAAGTTAGCTACAACGCTACAAAGCGATGTGTTTACAGTTAAATTACTGTTCATTAATACCTACGGCCCCACCCAAATAACCAAATCAATATTTAATTCAATTTTCATAACCTTACGGGCACTCTCTAAGAAAAGCTGTTCAGTCAAGAACATTGAACATAATTAACTTTTACTTTAAGGAAAGGATCGGCAAAAGTACAATTCAGCCGCAAACTAACAAAGGCTGTCACTGAAATGAGTTTCTGCAATTTTGACATTTTAATTGAAACCAAACTTTCCCAAAGGGCCAAACGGAAAGAACTTGGCTTTGCGAGAAAAACAAAAAAACCTGTCACATATTCACAAACTATGAGCAATGCACTGGTTGCACTGGGCGTCTCCTCTCCACAGTTCCAAAGTTGCCGACATTCTTGTTATCCTGAGGCAAACTGTTGGACTACCAAGCATGTGAAAACAAATGGACGTGTTCTGTCTCATCAAAGGATGCATGGGACATGGTTTGGGGGGGTAATGCTCGTGCCAGATGTCCTTTTGCTCCCGCTTTAAGTGTGAATTAGCCAGTTCGTCTCCACCAACAACATGTGCTTTGCTTTTAAGACTTATAAACGATCCAAAAAGTTGAAAGTGGTAGCAGATAAATGGATGTACTGTACAAAAGCTTGGACAATGTTGAGGAATTTCCCAGAGAGAAATAGGCAAAATCTATCTTAAAATCATAGCTCAGATGTATTGCAGATAACTGTCAAATTACAATACTTTTTCATTCAGTTAAATATACATAAAAGTATGCAATTCTAACTCCACTGAGCATAAATACCATAATTCTGGGTTTATTAGGGGCTACTTTTATGAAGTGAACTGAAACTTGTGGCTTATAAGATAAGATTAGATAGACTTTATTGATCTCACACTGGAGAAATGTCCATTTGGCATAGATAAAAGGTTAAAAATATAGTCTGCGCAGGATATAACTATTTACAATAAAAAAGTGGCAATAAATTAAAGAGTGGCAATAGCAAAGCAGGATTTTTTAATATATATTTAGCAAAACCTTAACATTATTTTTATAATTTTGTTTTTCTTTGTATTCTATATAAAATAAGCTTTGCGTGACACCATTGCCCTCATTACCACAAACACGTACATCACACTTCAAATGGCCGTGTATTTCCGTGACAAATAAAACAAAATCTGACACTGTTTTACTCCCTGCAATGCTATGCTACTGATCTTCCCCCACATGCGTTCCATTGTTCTAGTGTGCAACCACAACAAACAGCAAAGACGTTACCAAATCTCATGAAGCAGTCACAGACGACAGACCCAGGAAGCTTTCAAAGGCCTTTCCTTTCGCACAGGCGCCTGGATTGCATCTGCACACGTTGCTCTGCCCTTCGCACATTTGCTTACGCTTTTGCTCTCGCCTCATTACGAGAGGACAATACGACAAGTTTGGGTCAGGGCTGCGAGGGAAGCCCGGGTCCAAACGCTGTGGCTTTTGGCATCGATCAAATCAGTAACGCCATGAGTGTTGGCGCAGTTTTCCTAGAGGTCTTGAGGTCTTCTGCGCACCACAACAATTGGAGACTTGTGCACAGGAGCGGGAAGTGTAAAATAATCCACAGGCTGCGGCTGGACATTCTTCTGCGGTGGGTAATTGGATAATGGGACTCCAAACATGGTGTTGTGATGGGTCGCCACAAGAAATGGACAAAAGGAGAAAGGGATTGGAGCTATTGTTACAAGAAACAGGCCTTTTCATTACATGACGCGATTGGGGTATTAAAGAAGGTTATAGGAAAGGAAATGTAATTGATTTTATTTTATATGGGAAAAGACCCTTGAGATGCTCCATCTCATTTTCGAGAGGGTTCCATGAACATAAGACAAACACAATACATAAAACACAACACAATACAAACATTTACACATTAACACATTAGACAGGATTAGGACAGGTTTGCTCCTTCAGATCCCACTCCACCCCCTACAATAATAATACATTCAGAGAAAATATAATCATTTCTGTGTACAATAATATAGCACATTTCATACAGATAATTGCAACCCAATGTGCTCAAAGCTGGTGCTACTGACTTTTTATTTAAAAAAACAACACATTTTCTTTGTATCCAACATAAGGAGTATTGTGAATGTAAAATGTTGAAATCAAATCAGTCCACAAAATGCTGTCTTCACCTTATTAGAAAACATGTTATATTTTGCATACTTGGAAGAAAGAGCCATAGGAATCACTATTGGACGCTTTGGGCTGAGAGCTGATAGGCCTGAGAGGATAGACCTTCCTGTTTTTGATTTTTTTTCTATCTGAAAAAGCTGATCCAAAGGTGTGACAGAGGCCAAAAATACATGTGTGTGAAAACTAGAGATCAGAGAGAGCCTGGAACTACATATTTCATTCCATAGATCATTTTTTGTGGTTTCACACCAAAATCATTTATTACTTTTGGTAAGTTCTTCATTTCAAGTATCTTGTTTGCCTTCAATTACACCAAATATAGCACAATATATTTTGAACCTTCTTTGTAAGTCATGGAAAAGCACAGGCAGTTCCCAAAAATACCGTGAATAAAATTGAAAATACACAAAAAATGGAATCTTGCCTTGACAATTTTTGCACAGAGAGAGAAACTTTCTTTTTCGCGTGCAGACACAAGTGTGGAGTGACCGTAAGTCTCTGCCGGGAACTCAGAGCCACTGAAGCAGAACAACAACCAGCTACACAAAACCACATGTGAAGCAGCCTGGGACGTCTCGCTAAAGATTCGCCAAAGGGACAAGCAACACTCCTTCACAGCGAGTATAGCAGTAAAACAGCCCTCTGCTTCGGTGCAACAGGACACGACCGGGTTTATACGCTCCGTGGATAACATTTGCACCTGTCAATACAGTCGCTCAAATGTCCAGTAGGGTTTCAGCACAAGTATAACATTAAAGCAGTTACGAGCATACATATGTCGCTAATCTGCAAATTACAAGAGCAGCAAGACATTGGGATCTTCCATCTGCTTTCTTTCTGTCGTGTCCTGTTAAAATAGGTCCTCAGTCGTTTTGAGTCCACTTAACAGTCCATATATTTGCTTCAATGCCTGATGGTACTAGAGTATGGAGAAGTTCGATTATAATACATTTAGCACAGTCTTGTTTTCTTGTTAATACCTAAACACATCATGTCTTTGCGATCTCATACTTCATCGTCTCAAGACAAGCAGAAAAAAACCCTTACATAAATGCCAATAAATGCTACGCTGTATGAAAGGCCAAAAACTTGCACATCTAAGGTTTCCTTCATACA